GCATATATTTCACCTAAATTACACACCACAGCACATTTTCCAATCTCACAGATTTTTTCTAAACTCATTGGAATTTCCAAAGTTCAATACAATACACAGCCATTTAAAAGCAAATAGTCAGTAAATTTCAAGGTGCAACAGATAAATTTGCAATGTTTTTTCCAATAAATGACAGACCAAAATCAAACAGAGAAACTAATACTTGTACAAACTTACTCGCTTGCCCATTCTCCTTCACAATCACAGTTTTTCAAATAAAGGCAACAAAAATTCATGGCTGAACATACTGCTCCAAATTAAAACTAAACTAATTGAAATCCTTATTAAAAGTTATTCAGGTTGACTAAGAAAACATTAGGAAGGACAAAATTTCAGGTTATGGGCATCAAATTCCAGTATTTTCTAGGTCCTTCATTATTAGTGATTTAAAAGTCTTTTTCTTACCAGGAAAGACAAGTGAGTAATAGCTTAGTCTAAATGACAGCAGCTCTGTGGTATCAAGAGCCCCGATTTCAGCTAATTTTCAGGTCTTATTATCTTGATACCATGAGATAGAATATAATAGATGGCTGGAACAGCTATAACATGACATTTATCAAAGGACGTGTCAGCAGCATCCATGGCCTCAATGAAGATGGAGCCTCCGAAATATAAATCAAAGAAAGTATAGGAACATCTCAGAAGGAAAGGATGACAGTGATCCTACACACCTAAAATATTTGAAATGCCTTAGGCAATCCATGGAGCTGGCAGTGTTAAAAATAATGATGTACCAACTAAAGATATTTAGCTCTCTGCTGAGAGAGAGCAGTGCAGCAGAATGAGGAAACCTTTAGGTAGTTTTTAAGCCATGTGGGTTCAAGTTAGAGCCCCACCTCTTACTGTGGCTTCTTTGGTGACCCTCAGCTCCTCTATGGAGCTCACAGGGTTTTCTCCGGTATAAATCGTGATAGAAAGCATCTAACCTTTCCCAGTTCACATGGTCGTCCCACGAATCAAGCCAATGTGCTAGGCAATGCTGTCAGAGTGTTCAAGGTGCTACAGACTCAGTTTGTGTAACATAATGTTAGAGGCTTCAACTGGAGCACCAGATACAATAAATATGCTAAACCAAGGGAAGTGCTGGTTCCGTATGCAGATGTATAAATCTAAAGCCTGGTGGTAGGATTTCTAAAACAGGCTTTTATTATTATTTTTAGAGCGGTTTCAGGCTCACAGTAAAAGTGAGTGGAAAGCACAAAATTTGCATATACCCCTGTCCAACACATGAGAGAATTTTTGAAATACTCACCAATGTTGTGTGTTAAGGTTGGTTTTTGGAGATTGGGTAGAGATAATTCAGGAAAAGGATTTCTTTGTTGAAAACTACATTGTATTAACATCCCAACACAATGGGGAGTCCCCCCCCCCCGCCAATCTCAAATCAAGAGAGAAGGGTGCCAGTGGATTGATTCAGAGAGTTGACACGGTGGGAAGCAGTGAGTTGGGGTCTGAGTCCCACTTGGGAATCTAGGAGACTACAATAGTTGCCTGCTGATACAGTGATGTCGGGCTCCACCTGTGATCTCAGAATTTGTTAAACCAAATGATGTGTGAGTGTTCCTCCTTGGAACATGAGAAAGAGCTCCACTAATGTCATTTTATAGTCTGCCCAGGAAGAGAAAACGTGGACGGAGAAAGAGTGAGAAACCAGGAACTGCGGGAGGGACCGTCACGGGGGAAGATGCATCAACCCCTCGCTGGAGGTGAAGCTGAAAGCCCCACGACGGCCTGTGAACGGCCCACAGGAGCCCACGAGGCAGTCTGCTCTTTACACATGCCAGCTCCAGGGGGCTCCAGCACTTCCCACGGCAGTTAGCCAGTCAAGTGAGGGCTCTCCCTGCCCCTTTCTTAGTTCTCTCATCTTGTTTCAACCTGAGACATCAGAAACTGAAGGGAGCAAGAAGGTGCAACAGGATGGAAGCTCAGAGCATGGAAAGGAGGATGGCCCCTCCCGGACCCTCCAGCAGGGACCCGCCTGACACAGGTCCTGCAGGAGTACGGGAAAGCTTGGTGTTTGCGTGGTTGATTGCTTCTCATGAGACTGAACACTGTTCTTTGCTGAACTGAAACTGTATTCGGAATTTAAAGTTGTCTGTTTGGCCTGGTAGAACCTGCCACCAACCAGGAGTCCACGGCAGTGCCTTTAGTGAAAATCACAAAAGCATCACGAGTAACAGGAACACGGCTCAGGCCCAGCTGGAGAGGTTGTGCCATTTAGGCTGCAAAAGGCTTGTACTGGAGCTGCCTGGAGCTGCTTTACAAATCACAGCTCGGCTTCACGTTCAAGTGACTCAACCAGTCCCATCACGAACAAGCCTGGGTTTTCAGCCTCTCGCTGGGGGGCTGCCACACCTATTTTCTCTGCACTGTCATGTCTAACCACACCTCTCAATTCTCCAACCTCAATACAATCTCGGGTCCATGAAGCAGTACCTATGTACGTGACTCGTTTTACCTTTCTGCAATTCTCAGATTTCTCAAGAACATTCTGGATCAGTCCTAGCCTGTCCACACAAGTCCTATCCGAATTCAAACAGTAGGCTGCTGTCCTGCCTCCCATACTTCCCTATTTTAACAATGATTTTTCCTTCACACTCTCGCCGTACCTTTCACGGCTCTGAAGCTGTTCACAGAAAAGTGAATTTCTTTGAGGGAGGCTGCACATTTAACCTTCCTTCCATCTGAAAGTCATAAGTTTAGTAGAGAAAGAAAGACATGGTAAGTGAATCATTTTAGCTGCTTTAAACATATGAAGAACTGCCAGATGGGAGATTTCTTGGATTATTATTATTTTTTTTTCCAAAAAGCAGAGCTAGAAGTTATGGGTGAAGACAGATTTCAGGTCAAATAACTCTCTATCAATAAGAGTTCTGTAAATGAAAACAGCTGACCCGAAAAGCAATGGTTCCTCCATCACTAAAGGTGCTTTAGCAGAAGACAGATGGCCAATCACCGAGTATTTATTACAAGAGCGATTTTTGTATCAGGAGGGAATTGAGATCACATGGCTACAAGGCCCACTCTTATTCTGAGATTATGGGTAGGCCAAGACATACAGTGACGATGATGCCATCCATTCAATTATTCATTCATTCCACAAAATGTGCCTAAACATCTGTGCATCGGGCACCATGGAGCTCCATTCGCTGTGTGGAGTACCTGAGTCTAGTAACAGAATGGAGTAGGGGGGGTACCTGAGTAAGTGTCTTTTACTTTTTTGTTCACATTCCATTTATTTTGTGGTGTTTTTCATATATATATATATATATATATATATATATATATATATATATATACACACACATATATTCTTTCCAATATCTCTTTATGCAAAGCTTAAAATCTTAGCTTTACCGAAACCTTACACAACTTATAGGTTCTATGACATTTGTCTTCCTAAAGTACTTTAAATAGAATATCCTATTCAATAATAAAGAAAAATAACATGATTTTTTTTTTGCAAATTATGGAGGAAAAAACTCATCTGTCCATGAGATGATGCTGCCAGCTTTTGACAACGGCTGCGTCTGATCATTTTAACTGTAGGTCATTTTCCAGGCAGCAGGTCAGTGTAGAGCTTATCTTAGGATGGCTTTCTAAATTAATATGGAATTGCCAATGTACAACTGAAGATTTAAAAGACATAAAGAAAACTCAGCGTCATGCTGACACTACACAGACATATAGCTCTTTGAAATCAGCTGGGAGAACCCTTAGTTTCATCACACTAACGAGTGACTGAAGGTTACATGTTCATAGCTGCCAGTGGCCCTGGCAGGGCCCACGCTGTGAATTCTAGCTTGGTTAGGATCACGCCCTTCTACAACTGGTGGAGCCAACTAGCCATTTAAGAAACAGTCAGAATCCATGAGAGCCTCCCCTTTAATTTTCATGATTTCCTGCTGCCCAAGTACACCAGTACTCTTCTATTTTCTCTTCACTAAAGAAAAACATCCATGTTTTCCTTCATACCCAGTTCCTGAATCTCTATCCAACTTCAGGAAATGGAGCCTAGTGAATATGACTCTTCTCAGGGAGAATCTGTAGAGCAGGGCTTCACCCCACCCCCACCTCCGCAAGCCTCCCCCACCCCCCCATGTCCCATCCTAGCAGAAATGTGGGTGCTTCCAATAGGTAACTGAGTTTGGGTTCCCCATATTGAATTCTGAGTTTGGCTCCTTTCTCACTGTAGACCCAAGAAAAGTCAATTAACTTCTCCATTTCCCATCTGGCTTCAATGATGTATTTACGCAGGAAGCTTGATATTCCGAAATGGAAGACACGTGCTTGCATAAGTACCAATGCTTCTGTAACAGGGCTGCAAAAGCATACCACAGTCCCGATCTACACTGTCTTGCCTAATTCCTAGCAGTTTTTCTCAGTGTGACTCCCCCCAACCCCCACCCAACACACACATACATTTTTATTAAAGCTAGGCAGTATACCTGTTCTTTATAAACCATCAACAAAAGATCTACCATGGAGTAAGATAAAGCTACTCAATTCTATTTATATTTCCCCAATGAGATTTTTGGGCCATTTGCTTCTTTTTTTTTTTTTTAAGATTTTTTTATTGGTGAATTGGGGGGATGGGAACAGTGCTGGGGAATTG